TAATGAACAAGAACATTGGGTTTATTATTAGTGAGTAACTGGTTTACAAAAGGGATCAAGACGCGTTTACGTAAAATTAAATAGTGTATTTGATGTACGGAAAAAAATGGACTGGACTTTACTCCTGAATCAGTAAAGATATCCAATCCTTCATTTTATTCAAGATTTTTAAAGTAATTCTTCTAAATGTGAAATTGAAAAATGTCCGTAATTTGCCTATTTTTCTTTATCATTATTCCTATCCTTTCTGCATTAATGGCAAATCCCACAGTAAGAAACATTATAATTTAAGTTTGAATTTTTAAAGAGTTTTCTACCTCATTCATATCTGACTTCCCATATACTATGCCTAACTGATAAAAGTTATTTCAATCTAGTGCAGAATTCTGAGGGATTAAGGTATTTTTATGCACATACCACCAATAGAGAGCAGACCCTGAATGCCAAGGCAAGTTATATATCTTTCAGTGCCCTTGAGCCCAGTTTCTTACAAGCTTACACATAACAAAGAATTACAGCTGTCAGTTTTTCCACTTCGTCAGTGACCCCAAATCTAATGCACTTATTTGAAATATATTTTCTCTACACATACGTCTTATCTTTCAAATAATTTTCTGTTTTTAAGAAAATGTAACAAAAAGCAAGTAAATAAGCAAACAAAATGTTTCTACAAGTCCCAGATCCAAATAATGCAAGGATCAGAATAAGACTTCACATATACAACTAGCAGGTTTTTCTTGTAAGTCCAAGGAAAGATGTGTATTAGTAAAATCCAGATGCTCGGTGTGGTGGCTTACGCCTGTAATCGCAGCACTTTGGGTGGCAGAGGTGGGCAAATCACCTGAAGTCAGGAATTCTCTCTCTCTCTCTTTTTTTTTTTTTTTTTTTTTAAGACACAGTTTTACCATGTTGGCCAGGCTGGTCTTGAACTCCTGACCTCAGGTGATCCACCTGCCTCGGCCTCCCAAAGTGCTGCGATTACAGGCGTGAGCCACCACAGCCAGCAGAGGTCAGGAATTCAAGGCCAGCCTGGTCAACGTGGTGAAATCCCGTCTCTACTAAAAATACAAAAATTAGCCAGGCGCAGTGGCACGTGCATGTAGTCCCAGTTACTCAGAAGGCTAAGGCAGAAGAATCGCTTGAACCTGGGGAAGAGGTTGCAGTGAGCCGAAATCGCACCAGCCTGGGTGACAGAGAAAGGCTCCATCTCAAAAACAAAACAAAAATCCAGAAATCTAGGTGGTAACTATGTAAACATTTATATTTCAATTAAAATAATACGCTCTTAACAAGTATATTTGCCACAGGAAGTCCCATCTAATGAAAACTGGCATAAGGAACTTGCTTGAGTGTTAATAAATTCTTAACTTTTAAAATTAAAATTTAAAAATTTAATTAAATTTTAAAATTAAATGAATTTTTAGGTTCTTTTAAAAATAGTAATATTACATTTTATAAAGTCACCTTTATCAAATTGAGAGCAAGTTCTAAAAATTCAATTAATATAAAATTATTTCATTATATTCCAAAGGTGAAATTTATTTAATATTTTTCTCCTATCTTTCTCAAGCTCTCTCTCCCACCCTCACAATTTAAGTCAGAAACACTTCAAGCACACAACTTATACAAAGCACCAGAATAAGATTAGGAAAACAGCCCCGCCAGGCATGGTGGCTCACACCTGTAATTCCAGCACTTTGGGTAGCCGGGGCAGGCAGATCTCCTGAGTCCAGGAGTTCAAGACCAGCCTGGGCAACATGGTGAAACCTCATCTCTACTAAAATAGAAAAAATTAGCCAGGCGTGGCAATGTGCGCTTATAATCCCAGCTACTCAAGAGGCTGAGGTAGGAGAATCGCTTGAACCTGGGAGGCTGAGGTTGCAGTGAGCCGAGATAGTGCTTGAGATAGTGCCTGGGTGACAAAGAGAGACTCCGTCTCAAAAAAAGAAAAAAAAAGAGCCTGAGTGTGGTGTCTCAGTCCTGTAATCCCAACACTTTGAGAGGCCAAGGTGAGAGGATCACAAGGTCAGGAGTTCGAGACCAACGTGGCCAACATGGTGAAACCCTGTCTCTACTAAAAATACAAAAATTAGTCAGGCATAGTGGCAGGCACCTGTAATCCCAGCTGCTCCGGAGGCTGAGGCACAGAATTGCTTGATCCCGGGAGGCGGAGGTTGCAGTGAGCTGAGGTTGTGCCACGGCACTCCAGCCTGGACAACAAGAGCAAACTCCATCTTAAAAAAAAAAAAAAAAAAAAAAAAAGGCTGGGCGCAGTGGCTCAAGCCTGTAATTCCAGCACTTTGGGAGGCTGAGGCAGGTGGATCACAAGGTCGAAAGATCGAGACCAACCTGGTCAACATGGTGAAACCCCGTCTCTACTAAAAATACAAAAAATTAGCTGGGCATGGTGGTACGTGCCTATAATCCCAGCTACTCAGGAGGCTGAGGCAGGAGAATTGCCTGAACCCAGGAGGCGGAGGTTGCGGTGAGCCGAGATCGCGCCATTGCACTCCAGCCTGGGTAACAAGAGCGAAACTCCATCTCAAAAAAAAAAAAAAAAAAACAGAAGAAAAGAAAAAGAAAACAAGGTTCCCACCTTCAAGGTATGTGCAACCTATGTAGCAATATAAAATCAACGCGTTTGAAATGTTTCAGTAGCATAAAATAAATTCTATATTAGTGGCACAAAGAAAGTGTGGGGAAAACTGAAAAGAAACATAGATAGTTACTGAACTAAAGGTTCTGAAACTGAGGAAAAAGTGCTTTTATATTATCTACATGGTTTTTGAGCCGTGAATCAGGGTTTTCTTAGTGAATGATTACATTCCGACTAGGATTTAACAGAGGTTCAGTTCCAATTGAAAATGAATTTGTTTCTGCACAAATTCATTTTCAATGGTAGATTTTTAATGTCGATTGAATGGTAGATTTTGCCATTTTTCAATGGTAGATATTTAATATATAAAAATCTTTTGGCTGGGTGAGGTGGCTCATGGCTGCAATCCCAGTACTTTGGGGGGCCAAAGCAGGGGGATCACCTGAGGTCATGAGTTCAAGACCAGCCTGATCAATATGGAGAAACCCCGTCTCTACTAAATATACAAAAAAAAAAAAAAAAAAAAAATAGCTGGGCATGGTGGTGCATGCCTGTAATCCCAAGTACTTGGGAGGCTAAGGCAGGAGAATCCCTTGAACATGGGAGATGGAGGTTACAGTGAGCTGAGATAGCACCATTGCACTCCAGGCTAGGTAACAAGAGTGAAACTCCATCTCATAAATAAATAAACTCTTTCTGCCTCGAGCTGGAGGCAGGAAGCTTGGATTCTAGTCCCTGTTCCTCACTTCCTATGAGGGATTGGCAGCAAGGCAACTCACTTTTCTGAGCTTGTTTTTATAGATCGGGTAAAATTCGGATGAAATTTTATGTGAAATGATTTTTTTTAATTAATTTATTTATTTTATTCAGTCCCTGTAGAGACTGCCAAAAATCACGAACACCAACTGTATTTCACGTCATCACAGCGGGGTATTGGGAAAGGTTTTCACTCCTTTTCCAAACTCCTGTTTGGGAGTGGACTGGAGTGTTAGACTGTCCCCTGATAACAGTGGTGGCTTTGGGCCATGGTGACCCTCAAAATCAGAAGAATTCAAAAGGAGGGGTTCTCAGAAAATGGAGCACCTAATAGTTCTGCTGGAACACATGGGACAATCAATCATTTTTATTCCATGACAGAATGTAGTTAAGATTACGGAAAACAAGGCCGGCGCAGTGGTTCACTCCTATAATCCCAGCACTTTGGGAGGCCTAGGCGGGTGGATCACAAGGTCAAGATATCGAGACCATCCTGGTCAACATGGTGAAACCCTGTCTCTACTAAAAATACAAAAATTAGCTGGGTGTGGTGGCACACGCCTGTAGTCCCAGCTCCTTGGGAAGCTGAGGCAGGAGAATTGCTTGAACCCAGGAGACAGAGGTTGCAGTGAGCCAAGATCGTGCCATTGCACTCCAGCCTGGGTAATGAAATTCAGAGTGAAACACCATCTGAAAAAAAAAAAAAAAAAAAAATATATATATATATATATATATATATATATATATATGTATGGAAAACACCCTGTGCTTTCTCCTTTCAACCTCTCCTAATCACTAAGTGTGTTCACTGAGGTACAAAATAAGAAAGTAGTTAAAGGATTAAAAAAAAAAGGTACATTTGGAAATAAAGGAGAGTGTATTTTCTTTTATTTTTGAGTATGAAAGCATTTATAGAGCCAGGTGCAGAGGCTCACGCCTGTAACCCCAACACTTCAGGAGACCAAGACAGGAGGATCACTTGAGCCCAGGAGTTTGAAAGCTGCCTGGGCAACAAAGTGAGACGAATCTACAAAAACCAATATCTACAAAAAAATGGTAAAAATTAGCCAGGTGTGGTGGCATGCGCCTGTAGTCCCAGCTACTCAGGAGACTGAGGTGGGAGGATCGCTTAAGCCCAGAGGTCAAGGCTGCAGTGAGCTATGATCATGCCACTACACTCCAGCCTGGGCGACAAAGTGAGACCCTGTCTCAAATAAAAATACAAATTTAAAAATCTACAAAGAACCTATAAATATAATGCCTATATGCCCCCTCTACTCTCTCCAAAGTTATCCAAAAAGCACATAGTTAGTGTAACTCCACATAATAATCTCCCCAAAACTCTATCTTCCTTCTTCAAATTATATACCACTGCAAATAATTAGCAACATTTGACTATTATACATTTTATAACCTTTCTTCTATAAAGTATCTTGCCCAAATGCTACCCCCACTGTAAAAGGAAAAGAATCAGATGCCTAAGATCTTCGGCATTACGACAACTAAAATAACTAAAAACATGCTCTAGGTAAGCCTTGAGGTCACACCTAGTAATAGAATAAGTGCACTTACTGCTGTTAACATTATTATCAACCTGTCACACAATAACTTGCCTTTCGGACATTTCCCAACTTAAAAATCATTTCACAGCTTTGCGTACTGGCAGTATCATAGCCAATAAGGTTTAATCGAGGCGAAGTTATTGCAAATTGAAAACTTTTCCCAATACCCCGCCATGATGACTTGAAATATAGTCGGTGTTGGCAATTTTTGGCAGTCTCTACGGGGACTGAATAAAATAAACTAATTAATTATTTAATTAATTTAAAAAATCATTTCCCATAAAATTTCATCTGAATCTTACCCAATCTATAAAAACAAGCTCAGGAAAGTGAATTGCCTTGCTGCCAATCCCTCATAGGAAGTGAGGAACAGGGGCTAGAATCCAAGCTTCCTGGCTCCCGCTCCAGGCAGAAAGAGTTTCAGATGTCTCACGAGACCTCTCAAGAAAGCTGAAGCTGTCAAATAATGAGTTAATATCAGGAGGTTCGGAACCATTTTAATCCAAGATTACAGCAAAGTGCAGGTGGTGCACATTCAGGAATAAGGAACCACTAGCCCTACATGCATCCTGGTAATTCAGCACTACTAGTTTATTATCTTCCTGAAACTGCAGGTGGGAAACTGGTTTGGGTCAGAAATAATTGACTAAAATAGCCTAGCAAATTAACAGTAAGAACCAACATACGGAACATTTACCATTCATCAGGATTATTAATTTATCATTCCTCCCTGCAGAGTCCGCTACCCTATTTTACCTGAGGAAACCAAAAAAGAGGAAAAACTAAGTGATTTTACCAAGCTCAGACAAGTAAGCTCAGAGTAGGACTTGAACCCAAGCCCTCTTACCTTAGAGCCTGGACTCTCACACAAAGCTACTCTGTGTCTCAGCAGAGTTCTTCACAATCAGAACACTCAATAGTTCTGCTCCACCATGACAAGCGGCAGGCAGGAAAGCTTCTTTCTTTTCCAGAACTTACTTTTAAAAAACTCTTTGCCAGGCACAGTGGCTCACACCTGTAATCCCAGCACTTGGGAGGCAGAGGTGGGCAGATCACCTGAGGCCAAGAGTTGGAGACCAGCCTGGCCAACGTTACTTGTCTTTTAGTAAAGACAGTAAACCTGTCTTTACTAAAAATGCAGAAATTTAGGCAGGCATGGTAGCACGCCCCTATAATCCAAGCTACTCAGGAGGCTGAGGCAGGAGAATCACTTGAACTTGGAAGATGGAGGTTGCAGTGAGCCAAGATTGTGCCACTGCAACAAAACAAAACAGAAACTATTTATCCTAGCACTTTGGGAGGTCAAGGTGGGAGGATCCCTTGAGTCAGGAGACTGAGACCAGCCTGGGCAACAGGGCAAAATCCTGTCTCTACAAAAATTAGATGGGTGTGGTGGCATGTGCTTGTAGTCCCAGCTACTTGAGAGGCTGAGGTGGAAGGATTGCTTGAACCTCCTGGGAGGTCAAGGCTGCAGTGAGCCAAGATTGCGCCACTGCACTCCAGCATGGATGAAAGAGTGAGACCCAGACTACAAAATAAAAACAAACAAAACAAAACAAAACAAAAAAAACCCTCTTTATTTAGTATGGGATTCAAAATCCTGGCATTTGGGTGTATGCCTCAAATATCAAGGAAAGTTGCTATCAACCTGAAGCAATAATAGGAAAGCAGACTGAAGTGTGAGGAAAACTGAGCAGCATGAAAAGGCAGTGTGCTGTCCACAGGGAGAGGGCGCACATGCAGATCAGAGATTCTGTATTGGAGGACAAATGACAAGGAAATTGTTGAAATGCAAAGAAAAGCACAGAGTATATTTCTTAGAACTGACAGCATCTTTTTTTTTTTTTCAGATAAAATATATGTATGTATCAACATTTTTGAGTTCTTTGGTCAGAGGTCTTTATTTTTAAAAAGTGTAGAGGTTTTTTTAAGCTTCTGTGAACCATCATCACTGACATAAGTGATCAATGTATTCTCTTTTATTTAATTCCTCTGGGAAAAAGAGGTGTCGGTAGCATGGGAATTCACAGCTCTTGTATGTCGATAAAACCAAAGTGCGAAAGTCACTAACCATGGAGGTGGATTTGAATAATAAATCCTATCTTCCTGTTCAGCTGCCTTGCAATAATTAAATTATTTATCTACTGCAATAACGTGTCTCAGTGAATTGGGTTTATTTGTGCAGTGGGCAAGAAGAACTTGTCTGGCAATTACACTAAAGTGCTTTACTGTATTATCTCATTTGACTCAACAACACAGGAGGTAAATGCAATGATTATCCCCATTTTCTTTTCTTTCTACCTTCTTTCCTTCTTTCCTTCCTTCTTTTCTTTCTTTCTTTCTTTTTCTTCTTCCTTTCTTCCTTTTTCTTCCTTTCTTCATTTCTTTCTCTTTATTTTTTTTGTTTTCACAGTCTCACTCTGTCACCCAGACTGAAGTGCAGTGGGTGCACTCTCTGCTCACTGCAACCTCCGCCTCCTGGGTTGGAGCAATTCTCCTGCCTCAGCTTCCCAAGTGGCTGGGATTACAGGCATGCGCTACCATACCCAGCTAATTTTTGTATATTTAGAAGAGACAGAATTTCTCTACCACGTTGGCTAGGCTGGTCTCAAACTCCTGACCTCAAGTGACTGAGGTCACCTTAGCCTCCCAAAGTGCTGGGATTACAGGCATGAGCCATCACGCCCAGCCACCCCATTTTTTATAAGAGGAAATTGAATAACTTACACAAAGTCACATGGCTAGTCATTGGTAGAGCCAGGATTTTAATCAAGTACTTTGACGTCAAGATGTGAACTTCTCACCAGTGTATGATGAGATGTCATTTAATTTAAGCCTCTTCACAATCCTGTGTCCTGTAATATTTTTGTTATTGCTGAAAAAAATGTGGCTCAAATGGGTTAAGCAATTGAAACAGAGATCTGTTGCAAATTCAAGTTAGTCTGGCTCTAACACTCCTCTTTCCTCTACAGTTTCTCTAAAAGGAAAAGAGGTACCAACGATGAATATAAGAGACAGGCCTTGGATACCCCACCGATGCATCCCAGATGTCACCTTGCCCCCTCAAAATCTGGGAAATAGTGTCTAAAAACCCACTTCTGCATTTTGGGAGAAGTCCCACACAGGTTCCAGAAGACCACGGTTCCCAGGCACGGCCGCGGTTGCCATTTTCTCCCACGGTTCCCAGGCACGGCCGCCGTTGGTTTTCTCCCACGGTTCCCAGTCAAGGCCGCGGTTGCCGTTTTCTCCCACGGTTCCCAGGCACGGCCGCCGTTGGTTTTCTCCCACGGTTCCCAGTCAAGGCCGCGGTTGCCGTTTTCTCCCATGGTTCCCAGGCACGGCCGCCGTTGCCGTTTTCTCCCATGGTTCCCAGGCACGGCCGCCGTTGCCGTTTTCTCCCTGCCATCTCTGCCTTGCTTTCCCATGCCTGGAAAATCCTAGCTTCCACTCTTGCCACGCAGGCATGAAATTCGGCCCTGTTCTCATGATTTCCACAAAACAGTGACATGGTAAGCACAGCAGGTGTGTATGATACACTCGCCTAAAGCTTGGTAGGATGAAAGGTCCCTATGACTATATCAAATCAAGCAATTCAGAATGTGAGTAACAGAAAGATTCCTTGCCCTTGTCTTCTCTGCAGGCTCATCTCGTCTCTCTCTTCTTCTCCCAGTCTCTCCTCCTTGAGCCCTTCATCTCCAGAGCAAGAATTCTCTTCCTCTTTTCCAGTCAGAGCAATTCAGTCACTGACCCCACCCGTTTAAGACCCTGCCCCGAAGCTTGCAATTTTATATCCAGAAGCCTTAGGCATTTTGCGTTCCTCTGTTTCCCAAAGGAAGCACGACTGGTTTTCACAGTACCAATTTTGTCCTGGCTATAAATCATACCACAAATCTTTATAATCAGGAAAACTAAGGGAGAAGGAGTGGTATTTAAAGATTCAAGCCTACAAATTTAAATGCCATGAAAACCTCAGTATATTTACCTTTTCTAAAAGTTTATTAGGGCCAGGCGTGGTGGCTCACATCTGTAATCTCAAAAGTTTGGGAGGCCAAGGCAGGTGAATCAGTTGAACACAGGAGTTAGAGACAAGCCTGGGCAACATGGCAAAACCCTGCCTCTACAAAAAATATAAAACTTAGGCAGGCATGGTGGCGCATGTCTGTGGTCCCAGCTACCCAGGAGGCTGAAGTGTGAGATCCCCTGAGCCCAGGGAGGTCAAGGCCGTAGTGATCTGTGATCATGCCATTGCATTCCAGCCTGGGTAACAGAGTGAGACCTTGTCTCAAAAATAAATAAACACATAAAAATTTCAAACAAAAAGTTTATACCTAATTTATAATATTAAATTAGATATTCACAGGCCAGGCACGGTGGCTCAAGCCTGTAATCCCAGCACTTTGGGAGGCCGAGGCCGGTGGATCACGAGGTCAAGAGATCGAGACCATCCTGGTCAACATGGTGAAACCCCGTCTCTACTAAAAATGCAAAAAAAACTAGCTGGGCGTGGTGGCGCGTGCCTGTAATCCCAACTACTCAGGAGGCTGAGGCAGGAGAATTGCCAGAACCCAGGAGGCGGAGGTTGCGGTGAGCCGAGATCGCGCCATTGCACTCCAGCCTGGGCAACAAGAGTGAAACGCCGTCTCAAAAATAAATAAATAAATAAATAAATAAATAAATAATAAAATAAAATAAATTAGATATTCACTTTACTTCCGTTTTTAAAAATTGAGCACACATACTGTACAACTTTTGCTGCTTCTGGCCTGCTTCCACGTCCCTGCAGTCTCGGGGCAAGCCAGGAAGGAAGGACTCTCACTGGGCGAGAACTTGGCAGCCGCATGACTCCTGAGGCCTGCCAGTTCCCAGTGAAACTGCTTCCTGGAGAGCTGCCTGGTGGCCTGGACACTCGTGTGGGCCATGTCTATTACTGCAGTGTCACCCTTTATTTCTGTACCTACTCACCTAGAGACTTACTGACATTTCTGAACTTCTTCCACGTAAAAGGGAACTAAAATTTGTCAACTGAATGCTGCTGCAGAGATGGCTTTTTAAAAAGATTGTTTCATTTCACTATGATTTTCAAACAGACTTTCTCCAGCAAAATCAGCTGATGCTGTCATCTTCAGCCAAAGATGCACGGAGCTTGTTGTAACTTTATGTTAGCAGAGATTATCTTGGTAGTGCAAAGAAGAGAATAAACACGAAATTTTGAAGCCAGGACTACGAA